CCCCCCCCCCCCCCCCCCACACACACTAAAGAATTATACCTAAACAAATCCTCTCATTCCTCTGCTAAGCATTGTTACACTCTTATCTCTTTTAAGGGAGACTTAAGTTCGATTTCCACCGACTATTTTTTATAATTTTTCTTATTTTTACCAAAATCTGTTTGGTCTCTCTTTTCATGATTGAAATCTTAAAGAAAAAAAATACATTTTGTATTTTTAATTTGTTAAATCTATGTTTGGTGAATTTTTGCATGTAAATTTTTATTTTATTTTATAAAATACAGTTAAAATCATTTGTTATTACTTTTAAAATGATTTCTAACTTGTTATCAATAATATAGAACCCTTAGACATTAAAAAGGATTAAAATAACAAGTTTAGAAATTATTTAGTTACTTTTATAAAAAGTAATTATTAGTTTGTGCAGAACTAAAAATTTTAGATAGTGAGAATAATAATTATTTATATATTTATAGTATTAAAAAATTTACATATAATTTTTAAAAATATAAATATATATTATAATTATTTTTTACAAGTTTTTATATCTATTACAATTAAAGATGAAAATAAGTTAGGTTAGACTATGTTATATTATAATTTAGTAGTTTGAATCTAATTTTTTCTTATATTATAAAATATATGTCTTAAATATGACTTATTTATTTATCATATTTTTTTTAAATGTTTGATTAGAACTACAATCCTAAAAATATACTTTATAATAATTTAATACTACTAAAAATATAAAAATAAATATGTTAAATTGTATAAAAATTAGTTTAATTTATTTAAATATAAATATGTTTTTAATATCTAATATAATATTTTAGATGATAATTTATTTCAAAATATATTTTATAATAAAAATTCTAAATAGAATTTAAATCTTTCAATCTTTTTCATTTTGATTTTTTTAATTGACGTATACAATCTTACAATTTTTATTATTTTAATTTTTTTAATCAACGTATATACAAATAAAAAGTACAAAAGATAAATATATGGTGTAAATTTTATTTTATCAAAAAATAAATTTTTTAAAAAAAATTAATTTGTTATTAAGACATATTTTTTCTCACATATGAGAACTAATTTCCTTGAAAAATTTGATAAATATCAAATAAATGAACAACTTTTTTAAATTTATATTTTATAATATAATTTAAATATATATGTTTATTTTACTAGAATATAACTTTTATTTTTTAAAACATATTATTTGTTTGGATAAAAAAAAAATATCTGTGTAAAATAGTAGTGGGGACATGTACCCCGCTCTCTTCTACATGGATCCATCCCTATGGATCCGTCCTTGAGTTTATGTTTAAAAAGTGATCAGGAAAATATAAATAATGAAATGATCTATGATAATTTTTAGAATAATATTTTCTAATTATCGATTTAGTTAAAATATTTTTATTCACACTAGTTGCTTAGATAGCATGAATCTTTTGTGTTAAATAGTGCTGAAAAATAATAAAATTATAAATTATTTTGGTTATGTATTAATTTCTAAGTTTTCTATTTAGACTAATGTATAAATATTTTATACAACACATTATAGGGATTTTAATAAATTATAGCTACTGTATGTTTTTATCTAAAGGAAGTGAATATTATAAATGCCATATGTATATATAGAGAGAAAAAAATAAGTAAGTAAAATTGCTATAACAACATGTTAGTGCTTAATTACTATGTTATCAATATGATAAGTTAGATACTCTAAATACTGATATGAATTTCAGAAGTTAAATTTTTTAGTTATATAATGTATATGAAAAAGTAGTTTCTTATAATTATAAATTATAAACTTGGTTTGAAGTAGTAATATTATGATAATTTTTAGAATAATATTTTCTAATTATCGATCTTGTTAAAATATTTTTATTCACCCCTAATTGCTTAATTAGATAGCATGAATCTTTTGTATTAAATAGTGCTGAAAAATAACAATATTATAAATTATTTTGGTTATATATTAATTTCTAAGTTTTATTTAGACTAATGTATGAATATTTAATTTATACGATACATTATAGGGATTTTAATAAATTATAGCTACTGTATATTTTTATCTTAAGAAATACCATATATATATATATATATATATATATATATATAT